GGGCCCTCCATGGTGGCACAGCGGGTTAAAGCACAGCACTAAGAAGCTGAAGACACTTCCGCATGAGGTGACCCACATGGCGTGGCAGACCTCTCCTGACCCACCCGCTGCTCTCTTCAGCTGTGTGCTTCATCAATCTGCCTGTTCAGCTCCCCACTCTGTCTCTGGTGAATCCTCTCACTGCCCCTGTACCTTTGGCCTGTATCCCAACTCTGTATGCATAAATAAATAAATCTTTAAAAAAAATGAAAGAAATGATGTCATAGGCAAATCATATTACTATATTATAAGATAATTTATCATCAGAAACAAAACAAGATGACAACTGATCCACAGGACATTATCATTGTCATTATGTCCTAATTTTCGGTACTCCATAATCTAAAACACTTTTTTTCTGTAGACATTACAGCCTCAGAAGGATTATTTTGTATTTGACATATTTTACAGAATGTTATATCTACAGGAATTTGGTTATTCCCCTCCACACACTCTTGGGGTATGTTATTGACCAGAAAAAACATACTTTCTATTTATTTTCAGTTACTCTCAAACACAATAGAAAATTTTATTTAAAGTTATGATTTCTAGTAGTATACATGATTACCAATAGCCTGCCACCTTCAGTCACTGGTTTGTCCTCTTAAAATTTCCATAGCCAAACTTAATAAAAATTAAACTTCTGAAATGGAAGTGCAGATTTTATCCAGTAGGTAAATTTGACAAGATGCCATTTAATCTATTTTCCAAATCTAGGACACTAAGATTCTGATAGGAAGTCATAGAATGTGACAGCTGAGAAGGATCTTAGAGATGGTCTCTTCTAAACTTATTATCTAATGAGATATTCAGAGAGAGAGTGGCCTGTCCATGTTCATGCAGTAAATTAATGTTACCCACAGGCCAGAAGCCAGGTTTCTTCACTGTCGGCCTAGAATATTTCCATTGTTCTGTGCTTTATCTAAATGAGTGACTTCTTGGTTTAAAAAGAGTAGATTTAAAGTGACTTGGGCCATTTGGCCTATGCTTGGTTAATGAGATAAAACTAAGGCAAAGAGAAAGGAGAAAAATTCTGGGAGAACTAAGCTGACTTGTATTACTTAAGGGCGACTTTTAGCTTCATGCTTTACAATAATTGAAGTAATGAGAAGCTCATCACACTCATAATATCAAATATAAAATCTATATAACAATTCAACTTTATCACTATCAAGTGTCAAGTTCCTGACATGGTTGACAGGATGACTAAGTCTATAGTGAAATAACATAGACAATCCAACCCATCAAAGAACAGAATGTAACATTGATAGACACAAACAACATGATATCCAGTTCCAAAAAAAAAATCTATGTCTATTTTACCTTATAATTTTATATCAATTTCAGGTTAATGCTGCCTGAGAAGTGTCTTGGTCTCCATTAAGATCCTGATCAGAAATGACTACTACTTTTATTCTTTTATTGCTCAATATATGGCGAACAATCTAGTACTTCAAGTATGTCTCATTTAACCAGTAAAAAAATTATGAGTGGCCCTCCCTGGTGGCGCAGCGGTTAAAGCACAGCACTGAGAATCTAAAGCCACTTCCGCATGAGTTCAATTCCCGCCTGCCCCGGAGGTGACCACATGGCGCAGCAGACCTCTCCTGACCCGTCCACTACTCCCCTCAGCAGTGTACTTCGTAGATCTGCCTGTTCTGTTCCCCACTCTGTCTCTAGTGGAGCCTCTCACCACCCCTGAGCCTCTGGCCTATACCCCAGCTCTGCATGCATAAATAAATAAATCTTTAAAAAAAAATTATGATTAACACAACCATATTTTTTATTTAAAAATTGAGAAACTGAGGCATAGAAATGTAAGGGAAATTCTCAAAGTGATTGAGGCTGTTGACTAAAAATCCTGGCACTCTGACTTTGGACCACTTATTTTTGTTTCTCCAAAGCAAATGTTGATATTTTAACCCTCTGGTGGTCAGGAGGTGCCACTGCAGCTATGATCTTGTTTACGTTTGAAATACCAAATCAGAGAGCTGTTCAACCATTTCCTAGTAAAGTATCGAGTCATTCTCATTCTAAGCAATTGGGTAACTTTCTACATATTTCTCAAGAATACTAGGAGGCAAAGACGCCATTAACATTACTCAAAGGCCTGCGAAGGTAGTACTCTGTTTTTAACAGATTGCGTGGAAACATTGGTTAGGTGACCAGCTGTCTCCATCTCCACATTTCCATATAATTGGAAAGGAAACTCTATAAATCAAGCACCAGCCAAAATCTGTATTAACTCACTGAATCAAAATTGTACACCAAAACACCTATTCAACATTTCAGTAAGTAGAATGTGTAAGAGCTAATGCTTCATCTCAAAGAGAAAAGAACTCAGGAAGTGGCCTCTTTCACGAACGAAAAAGCTCATATAGCTACCTGACATTCGGAAATTTGAAACTGCACGTCTGTTCACGAACTTGCTACCTGTTGTGAAGTTAATAAGAAGGCTGTCTGCTGGACACCACTGCGTGAATGCTTGTCCAGAAAATGCCCTGCCTTAGCCGCTCAGATTTTGCAATGGGACTCTGCTGACAGTGAAAAGTGGTGACTTTTTCATGGTAAAAGCTTTTTAAAATATGTCTACATACAATCAAACATTATTTTAGAATAATTGACTCAGCTGGTGCCATGCTAATAACAGCGTTCTTAATGATCTTGTTCTGCTTTCAAAATGGGGTAGCTGAAAGGTAAGCCAGCTTATTTCTTTTTTCTAAGCTTTGTACCTTTGCCAATTCCTGGAAATCATAGGTGTGCCAAGGTTTCAGAACTGTGCTCTTTTCTGACATATGGTTACAATTTAACACATTTTTATTCAGCACTTTTATGTTCATTAATTTTTCAAAATGCATTTATGGGACTTGTGTGATGTGCTAGCCTATGCTCAGTGTTGTAGGAGAGAGTGAGGACATCAAGGTGCCTCTTGGCTCCCTGGAAGTCACAGCGTAGTGTAAAGAAACAGTAAAGAAACAATTCTAATCACCATAAGATAAGTCCCATGTAGGATAAATAAATAGACCTTGAGGATGGATGGATCTTTTTTTTTTTTCCCAAATAGGGTGACAAACGAAAGTCTCTGTAAGAAGGTAACTCTAAAGCTGAGATACAAAAGATGAAAATAGCTGTACCAAGAGCAGGAGCAGGCAGAGAATGGATAAAACATGCAGGCAAATGTGTATGAAAACTTCGGAGACAACAAACACTTGACAAGGTCGAGGAATTGAGTAGAGACTCTTAAGAATGGGTCACATTGGGTAGAGAGAAAGGACACAATTTAGGGATAGAAAACTTGGAAGCAGCCAGGTCTTGCTAGGTGCTGTAGACCAGGCTTAGGGTGACTGATCTTATTCTTAGGGCAATTTCAGTCCATTTAATACTTTCAAGCAATACGATCATAATTCACAGTAGAAGCGCCTCTGAATAGTAATAAATGCAAAGGGGCCTAAGAATTAAATGGGTTGGGATAGGTTCTGGTAGAAGATATAAAGGGATCTTTCTTTGTACAAGAATGGTCACTCAAAATTATAAGAATGTGTATGTGTGTGTTGCAAAGATATTGTACTCCAGTTTTGAGTGTACAGTCTGTCAAGTGGGATGTTTCAATTATCCTTTGAAATAATTAATATCCCTGTATTTCACAAATTAGGAGGTTTTTGGTTTTGTTTTGATGTGTTTTAAGAGCAGTGATTAGTGCCTGAATGTTCTTTGTCTTTCTTACATGGAAGAAATGCAACCCAGCTTGCTGAGCTCAGGATAGGTGTTACAGTATGACAAGCTTAGCTAAGTCAATGTAGAGTATGTTCTAGAAGCTATGCTTGCAAATGCTCTGCATAGGAACCCAAGTTCAGCATGCTAAGGTCATGAATGGTAGATCTTATCACCTCTCTATAGTCAACAACAAAACACAGAACACAGAACAAATAAAAATGAGAAGCATATATGAGAGACAGCCTTTGAGAAGCACATGTGGAAGTGAACATGTCTTCATATAATGTCACAGTAAAATATATAAAATCACAGCAGAGAATGTGTCAAAATCTATTGGTCATGTGAGGAAGATACAGATGACCTCTGACTACAATGGTTTGATGGGTGTGGTTTTGACTTTACAAAGGTAGAAAAGCAGTATTCTTAGCAGATACCAGAATAGGGTGGTCTCATGATACAGCTGCCTTAGCTCTCAGTCTACATTTTTAACTCAGTATATTTTCAGTTTGCAAAGATTTTTTTTTGGGGGGAGAGGAGGTTAGAACCCCACTGTAAGTTGAAGAAGATCTGTCATAATGACTTCTAAATAGAATGACTTGTCCTTCAATAGGATGAGGAAACAGAATGTTAGCTAAAGTGAAAGCTATTTAAAGGACCATATCCACATTTGTTATTTGGGTAAAAATAAACTTCCTTCTTCTTGCTAAGGGTGTGGAGTCCTTTTCTCACACCCTGATCAAATGAAGAGCCTGGGATCTGAGGAGAACAAGGGTGGTCAGCTTTGGGTCTGCTTCTGGCCCTAAAAGTCTGTAACATATTTCCACATCCTGACAAGATGACATCTCTAAAAACTCTAGTGTCGTATTCAGTGGGCTGCTTTGACATGTTTCTTCTTATTCACTTATCAACGTGGAGAGTCGTGGTGACTAAGCAAAAAAAGAAAAAAAAAATGCTAGCTTGGGTGGCCTGTTGGGACTCATATTTGACAAACGCCGCCCTGATGACTCAGCTTTGGGGCTGCCATGAAAGCTATTTTGAAGATTCAAAATGGGGACTTACTTTGTTAATAAGACGTCATCTTCATATATAACGAAACAAAGTGCTAATGAGATGTTACCCTTCAAATTAGCTTAAGCGATGAGGTAGAAAGGAGTTCTGAGAAGCCAACACCCAGTTTTCCCAGTATATAATCTCCCTAGCAAATAATTTGCTCTTCACACCTGGTTGGGTCCTTAAGCGCGGCTTCAATGACGGGTTTTGCCAATATGCCAGCGTGCCGCGGGTACTTGCTCAAGGGCGTCTACGATGCTGCTCCGCTCTCTGCCATCAGCGTGGGTCAGGAGTCAAGTCCTGTGAGTTTTGAAGATGGGCTTTTTCTACCCAGCAGCTGCCATGGCAAAACCTGGATCCTGGACAACTTTCAGGGAACCTGTGGTGAAACCAGCAGCTGCCAGATGAGCAACAGTGGACGGGACCTGTGCACAGAGGGCCGCCGTTTGCAAAGTGCCTGCCGCCCCACAGCTGCTCAGGGATCTGGTTGCAGCTCCATGTCCTGTGAAAGAACAACTCGCCAGTCGGGAAATTCCGTAGAAGTGCTGGAGAGCATTTCTCAGTCTTACCAGTCAGGAAGCTGCCCACCGCGGGGATTTGCGGGCCAGAGCTGCCAACCTCTGATCTCCATGGCCAAGGGCGGGCCTTCCAAGACGCACATGTCAGAGAGCTACCAGTCAATGGAATGTGAGTCTACCAAGTGCCAATCCCAGAGCTCTACATCCAGCTCCTGCAGGCCGCTGGTCCGAGGGGCGCCAGGATCACGACTCCTGGAATCTTCTAGCACTTACCAGAAGTCTTGCTGTGTCACTGGTGGTTTGTAATTGCCTAATAGAAATGTGTAGAAAGTGCCGGGGAGGTGATGTCTTCTAATTGGGGTGAATTGATTTCTGAGCTCTTGAAGGCCTTTTATTTCTGTAAATACAAATGATGGTACATGCTATTATTGTGAGTGGATGAACATGTCTTCTACTTCCAGAGAAAAGACATTCTGTTGTTGTTTGGGGCCTTTCTAGTGATAAATGGATACTGGAAAGTATGTCAATGATTTTAAGTCACGAAAACCCTGTTTGTTAGCAATCAGTAAGAGCTGCAACCAGAGACTAAAATGAGCACTTAAAAAGTCAGCAATTTCGTTACTGCTGGTTATTATCAAAAGAAACTCTTAACATTGGGAGCTAATCTCTAAACTAATGTAATAGTAATATCAGAAAACCCACTTAGGTCCATGAATTCTGCTCTATCAGAGGTTGTTCATGCAACTGATTAATGAGCCACATTGGAATCTGTGATTGGTTACTGCCCATCTGCTATTTTATCCTGCATATACCACACGAATCTTCAAGCTAACTACTGAATTGAACCCATTCTTTGTTTAGTTTGGTAATTTGGGATTTCATCTCTATGAATTTCAAAACCACATGGTAACCAAATCTTTTAATGGGAGGTGTACATGTTAACATTTCTGTTTTTCCTTTTCCTTTTTTGTTATTTCTCAAATCTTTTATGAACCTGGGAAATGTCCTTTGTATTAAATAAATTTACTTCACTTAATTATAAACTTGTTGCACATTGTTTTTATTTAATATTTTATGGGCTCTATAGGATATTCTCCACCCCCTCCCCCACTGGACAAAAATGTTTGGCAGGGAAGGAAGATGAAAAACATGTGTCATTGCTATCCTCTGGATTATTCAAACCAGAATAAAAAGACATATTTGTGGTAGTCAAAGCAGGGAAGCTAGCTCAACATGCAGGTAACAAAAAACAAAACCATGGAGTTAGAATGGGGGAAGATTCATTAATTTTGTTCCAGTGGCATGGCTATCCTGAAGTATTTTTCAGGGCTTAAGGTACTGAGTGGGTAAAAGGGTAGGTCTGAAGCCATCTCTGCTTGAGTCTGGCTCCTTGCTATGTGGAGAGGAGACTGCTTGAATCCCAGCTGCATGCAAGTTACTCAGCCACTTTCTACTTCAGTTTCTTCAACATCAAAATTAAGAAAGGAAAGACAGAGCCACTGTGAGACTTAAAAGGTTGATCAATTGTAAGTGTTCAGCACACTATCTTGTATATAAAACCTGTTCAGCGCAATTTAGCACCAGGAAGGGACAATTATTAACAACTACGTGACATCACACCCTTAAGCGCTTTTTGGACTGTCTGTGTCAATATAGACAAGAGACCTCATTTGATATTTTCTCCTTAGCCTCAGCCTTGATCTCACGAATTTGCTAGACTAGCTTTAACGTCAGAACACAGATTGAAAGATTCTCTTCATTAAAGACACAAAGGGGAAAGGAAATATGGAACTTGTCCCAAAAAGTCTACATAGTGCTCTCAGTGACTGTAGAAATGACTCAGCAGATCAATGGTGCAAAGCAATGTCCATAAATGGAGGGATTTCTCCTGGCATGACCAGAAATACTCTTGGGGGGATTTGTGCAATACTGTTACTTACCCTTGACTCTTCGGTATGTGGATCACGGGACTGTGTGATTTTTCTCTTAGAAGTCAAGCACAGCAAATTTGAGAACAATTTGTTGCCTATGTACTATTATGGCAAGAGCCATACAATTATTCTTTTAAATTTAGCTCTAATTATTTATCAAGCACTATTTATATACTTTGTCATTTCACATGCAAACCACCCAGTTTGATAGTAGGATATTTTAATTCCCATTTTCTTCAGGGAGAATGATGATACATTAAAGAGTTTGCTCAGGATATTATAGGCAGTAAACGGGAAATCCAGAATTTGAATCCAGTGAGTGACACTTACAAGCTTGATCTGTAAATCCTAAAGTGCATTATAGGTGGGAACTAGGAACATGTCCCCTGCCTTAGAAACCACTTAGAGCCCTGGACTACCTTTCCCAGGCCATGGTGATTAATGAGTTGCCTAATGTTTAATGAAATTCTTCTGTGCCTTTCAAGGATGCTGGTAACATCAGAGCAGGAGGAATAACCCAGGGTATTTTATGTTATCAATAGTCCCACCATTGACAATCTCTAGACTGCCTGGCACCCCACCCCCAGACCTGAGAATGAAGAAAATGCCCTCTCTTGCACCTTCCCAAGCTCCATTTCCTTCTGTCCTATGTAATCTTGCTGCTTGGGGAGGCAGCTTCTCCTGACAGCTGACTCTGCTGTCCTCCAGATGTGGCACCACTGACTAATAAAACAGTTCTTTGAGGAACAACCTCATAGTTCAGAGTGTGGCTTTCTGAGTATGAGTGATTGACCCAGTTTGAAGGTGACGCTACCAACCGGATTCCATTTGACTTCTCGCTACTAAAACAGCTCAACTGTGAGGAAATTCTCCATGCAATATGGAGGGTCTTTGCAAATAAACATGTTTTGTTTGTTTTCTTGTGAACTTTGGAGAAGACAATCAGAGAACTAATTTAGTTGATTAGGTAGCTTATTTATAACCTAGGAATAAATGTTAGAAGTGAGTTAAGCAGCTTTCATTGGAGTGTGTACATATAATACTTTTTTCAATATCTTAGGAAAGAGCATTAACTTCAAATAATATAAACATGAAAGACACAAGGTGCCAGTGAGGGGCTCATATATGGGGTCAGATTCTTCGCAATATAAACTTTATTGTCTTAAAGTTCTTACTAATCCTGCAAATGATTTCTGTTTTTCATGTCCTTTTTATCTGCCTCTTTTTTGTTAAATAATAATCTTTTTGAAAGTTTTGTTTTATCTATCTATATACCACATATCAATGGAATCATATAAACAAATTAACTACATAAACAAACAAACAAAAAACCTTTAATCTATAAGACCAATTAGTGGTTGTCAGAGATAAAGGGTAGGAGGGAGATTCAATTGTAAATATGGCAGTAACAGGGTTTATTTATAAATATGGTGAAGGGTAGTATTGGGCTTTTACTGATCAACTTAATGTAGTATATATACATGTGTGACTTTTAGCAATACGTGCCTGCAACTTTTAAGTTTCATGATATAAGACCATCCTACCTCAATAAAAAATACTTAAGAAAATAATACTTTGGGCTTGTGGCAAGTAATAATGGTATGTAAAGACAGGATTTTGTTTAAAGTTGCATCAGGTTCATTGACACCATTCTTGAAAACAGAATATCCTTCTCTAGTTCTTTTTATGATTTCTATAATCCCTAGACCACCCTATAATTGTTTCACGGCCAGAATTGTTCCATATTCTGGGACCCAAATGGAAATGATGATGATTGTAGAACATCAGTTAACAAAGGAAAACACAACACAAAGCAAGACCATTACACTTCTTTAGACAACTGATTAGTCACAACTACTATTGCAATCAGAATTATCGCTTTGATTAGAAATTCAACACACCTTTGACAGTTAAGTACACATAGAATAAACATCCAAAAGTTAACATTTGAATTTACAAACATGTTTTTGTGATTACATAGTATGGAGACATTTACCTGAATTTTTGTGTAGATTTCTCTGACTTTAGAGAAACAAATACATTAATAAGATCCAAAGAGTGTTGTGACTTGTGTCCCAAAGGCCAAACTCTTGTGGGTGCATCCAGACAAAAGAGTAAAGACATCTCAGGGTAAACACTGAAGGTGGTTCTGTCGACTGGTGTTCTTCCATTCCTCAACATGGTATACTGCAAGTCCACGCCAGTGCCTCTGTAGGAATTCAGTAACTATGAGTTGACCAAGATAATTAGAAAAGACTGAAAATCAAAGGAGAGAGTGAGACTAGTAATTCACTTGCAACACGCTGCCTTGTCAATGTTGCTTCATGGGCTGCCATAGACTGCTTAGTTAAATTGCAAGTGCAGAACATAAATCTTCTTTACTGTAAACCTACCAGCTTCTACAGTAGGATCATTACCTGTTCTTGGGCCCCCATGGAAAGATCTACAATTCCTGGGACGCTCTCTATGTTGGGAAACCAATTTCATAATTCAAGTTGAAATTCTCAAGCACAAAGAGCTTTCTTCTAAAACTTCATATTTTATTAAATTAAACTCAGCCTAAATTAGACTGTGAAAGAAATAAATTTTACATCTCAGCTTTCTTGATAGGCACATGTTATACATTTATTTAGTGATTTTTTATGTATTTAATGATCAGATTTATCATAAATCATGGTAAAATTTGCAATGATCATAAGAGAACTAACTATATGAGAGCATGCATTGCCACTGAGAAAGCTATTTCTCAGAAAATTTGTTAAGGACACAAAAACAGCCATCAGAGCAGCTCTTTCATTTTGCAGGTCTATATTTGTTCAGCAGGCTGTTGAAAGTGCTCCCAGTTTCCAACCTCCCTGGGGCTGCAGCTGTGTAGTCAGGGCCCCAAGAGTCTGCTTTAATTTCCTGCAGTGAGTGACTTTAACGATCAAGGCATTGATTTTGAGAAGGCCCTGGAGGAGCTTCTAACATAGGGCCAGTTCTTTGGGACCCTCAGGCTACAGATGGAATGCTACACAATCAAAAAACAATAAGCTACACCCTGGCACCTTGAAAGTTTCTCTGGAGGACAAATCCCACACAAACTGTTTGGTTCTGAACGATGCAAGAGGTAAGTCTGTGCCTTACCTCCAACAGTTAGGGAAGGAAAATGCTAGTGGTCTTTACTCTAAAGACCAATTGACCCATTGGCACAGACCTTAATGCATCCTCATGTCAACAACGCTATATGGTCATAGAATCATAATTATTTTTACATTTAGAAGAGATGTTTAGTACACCTCACTCATATAATTAAGCAAACATTTGCTGAGTTTCCATGACTTACTCAAGATGAGGCAGAGCTAGAACTCAAGCCTTGTGAACTCTTGTACTGGT